AGGAATACAGCCCTAAGCAAACACACAACAATTTCAAATACATCAGCAATGTCCTGCTAGAATAATAAAGAATAGAGATAAGTAAAGCACTGAGACACCAGTTTTTCTTTTTTTGAATACATATATTGCATATGTGATTTTTTTTTTTTTTGGCATCATACAGACCAGACCATGCATTTTGCTTTTCTTTTACAAAAAAACAACAAAACACATTGATTTCTTGGAGAGAAGAGAAACAAGTCTTACCCCACAGAGCTCATGTCAGCTGGGGCATCTAAAACCATTCAAATCTCAGTGGGGAGATGAGACCCTGCAGGTAAATTCAGCAACGAGCTTTCCAGAGCAAGGGTCTCTCCCTTTGGTCTTACTCGCTAAGCCTGACACCTGCCAGCCTCTCTCCTGAACATCGCATCGGTCTTCACAAACAAGCAATAGCCTGGACAATCCCAGCCCACTCTCAGCTTCTCCCTTTCAACCATCCTAAGATTTTCTGCCTGCAGAGAGCAAGTTAGCTGCTACAGAAAATTTTATCTAAAGTACTCACCACACAAAAAATAACCCTCAAAACCAGACCTTTAACCTGAGAGATGCAGACTTCAACCCAGTGGATGGACGGAGGGAATATCGCTTCATTACTAATTTAAAGACCCTTCTGCAGCTTCAGCATGCCCGAATCTCTTACCGCTGCTTACCCTCGTGATTCAATTGTCTGCCTGTCTCTCTCCAGTACGCTAGCATTTGTGGAAAGCTTTCTCTTGCAACTCTGACCCAAGAATAATCAGTCATTCTGACAATCAAACCCTTTTTCTAGCAGCAGGCTATCTTCTATCCTTCCAGAACTGGTAAAACACCTCACCAATACTGCCTATTACTGTTAAATCAGGAGCTGCACTGATGATTTTACCTGTGAAGCCACAGATTAGATTTTATACAGTTTTCTTAAGGCATTTATTTAGCAACAAACAAAAATTCAGTGGAAAAAAGAATATAACCTCCGCATTGCTTCTCTTTATTCATGGTTCAGACAGGGATTATTAGTTTCAAGAAAAATTCAGTGGAAACAAGTCAAAGCTTCTAGTAAATGGTTTTGATTTAAAACCACCCCAACCCCCACTCCCTTAAACCAAAAGTCAAATCTTAAAACATGGAACAGATGAGTGTGTTTGAAAGTTCGTGGTGCAAAATGGAGGGGGATGGCAAAACCTCCTCCTATTAGTCAAAAAACCCAGCTATCCCACTCTATACCTGAACAGTCATCTCCCTTCTCCTTCTCCTCCCTGCTTCCATCCACCCTGAAACAAAAATCAATATATAAAGAACATCAGCAGCAGCTTTATGATAGGCAATGATCCTTTTTGACACCAGTCTGTGATAAGATCGTTGATTCTCTATCTTTAAATTACATCATAGCTGTGTAAAATACGCAGTGTTATCAAAAACGTGAACTCTTCACATCCGCTGTCGATACCTCAGCAAGATCCAGACTGCTGCCGCAGCGAGTGCCAGGCCTGGCACAAGAATGGTTGCTAGAGGAAGCCCACCTGATTCTCCATCGTCTCGATGACCCACAGGGCCGTTTTGTGGCTGCAACTATAAGGAAAAAGAAGTATTTGTGTCAGAGCCCATCGGAGGAGAGCCGCAGTTCTGTGTCAGGACCAGGTGATTCTGTAAGGATGTGCAAGATGGCTTCCCCAGGTACCTGTACCCTCCACACACGGCGGTGTTAGAACGGCTCTGCTGGACTGAGCTTTACTGCAGGGTACCCAGTCACTACCAGGCACCTTCCCGTTTCTCTACTGCTGCTCTGCAAACTGGGATTCTAACAGCTGAGCACACCTCACACAGCAGAAGCAATGACATACACGCATACCCAGTGATCCCTTGATGCACTTCCCACCACACCACTTCCTGGTGTCTTTACCAGGAAAAGGGCATCACTAATTCCGATTTTCCTACCTAGGCTGTACACTGCTCCAGCAGACTTACTCCTTTACTAAGGGAGTAGGAAAAGGGCCTCAACCCACCTCTCCCCATCAGCATGCTTCTGGCTGATCAGGATTTCCTTTTTAACCTCAGTGCTAGACAGGGATGTTCAAATTACAACAGTGGAATAAGGATTCCTCTCTTTCTACATCCAAAATGGTGCCAGTATATTTAAACTACAGCAGCCCACGTTTGTTCCTTCATGGTGGGCTGCACACACACCTCAACACTAACATGAGCGATGACCTCTGAAACAACAGGGGAGAGTTTTGTCTCCAGTAAGATTTTGGCCTCTGAAATAGAAGTGGAGAACTTGAGGTTCTGTCTTCACCGAGAAACCTTCGTCGCTGAGAAAGGAGATCTGTGAGAAAACACACCACACACCTGCAAAACAAAGACCTGGGGACTTCTCCAAGTTCACCTCTTCACTAATACCAACAAGTAACACAGGTGAATACAGATGTGGTCAACTAGAGAAGGCCAACAAAATCTTCATATGCATAATTCACACTGAGCACCTGGACATGGTATATTTCTGCCTCATGAAACAGTTATTTCTGGCTCAGTTCAGACGGGTTTCTGTGATAGATAGCGCTAAGAAACAGGTAAGACATACCCTGCGCTGAATTTTCAGAGACACGTCATAGCCTGCATTCCTGAACAGTTCCACAGCATCCTTGTGCCGCAAATCCTTCAAGTCTCTGCCATTGACCTAGCAAGAACGGAAAAGGAGAACCAGTTGCAAAAGGGCAAAAAATCAAATTTTGAATGATGCAGGCTAACGTAGGAAGGAGATAAAAATCTTCCTCTTTCACAAGAGGAAACTCCAAGCCAGAACACAGAGGTACAGGAAAAAAAAAAAAAGAAGCAAAATCGGAATACAAGACGACACTTGTGTCATTAGCACCTTCTTATGCTGTTGCTTTACTGGAAACAAATCAAAGGTGTAATTCCGACAGCTAATGAAAATAGAAGAGCAACTATGGCAAAATTATGAGTCTCTTTCCCACACTGTTCCCTCTAGTGGTCTACCTTTGAAACCTTTCTGTTTGAAAGAGCGTTGTAAACACATTTAAAAGCATACTGATGTAACAAAACAAGACTTACATATATATTGGCTTCCACTTGAAAGTCTTAGGAATTTTCTTAATTTAAAGGAATATCTCATGGCAGAAGGCTTTATAACCTACTTGATTTCATTCACTAACTGATTATATTCACCCTGATTTGTCTTTTTCATCCCCATCACCCCTAATTGTAGCTCCTGAGTTGAGCCCTGTCTAGTGCCTCCCTTCTCTTGATATTTAGACTCCCCAAACCCAAGTGTGTAAATACTAAACTCTCAAGAAAAGATAGCGTAATATTCTCCATTTCACTTAACACCATTTTTCTGGATCAGTAACAGGCTCCAACTAGTGCAAGGCACTCTATAGAGGCTACGAAGATTACATGTGCAACATAATAAGCCACTATAAAGTAAAATCAAGATGTATTAAAAGGTCACATATCACACTAGGATAGGCTACTTCTTTCTCTCATCACTTTGTAAAGCACATTGTCTTGTACGACTGGCAACTGTCTGAAGAACCAGTGGGACTGAACCTCAGTCACTTGAACTTGAAGAAGAAGCAGCCTGTATTATTTCTGATGAACTGAAGCGTTTTATGGCCTATAAGTTTTATAGCCTAAAAAACCCCCCTGAGCAAAAGGATCAGTACTCACGGGCTACCAGTGGAAAAAATGGAACTTAGAGGTGGAAGACCTTTATTTACACGTGTGTAAATGATGATCCATTGTGAGCAAGAGAAAGTCTGATGGATTCTAAAACCTTAGGGAGGCAAATCACAGAGGAAATGCAAATGCAGCACCAAGGAGCTCCTGAGACAAATCAAGAATGGAGAAGAGATGGGCCCATGTGTAGAGGCATGCATTTCCCCAGTGCTCAAAGCCTTCCCCAGATCCCCAGGATAGCTCCTCCATAGTTTTGCTCGGCGTCACCTAATTGCATTCACCACATCCTTCCTCCCTGTGAACTGTGATGGTAAATCTGCACCTCCTATCACATCACTGGTCATAACATTTCAAGAACACACGGGGTGAGAGAAGAAAGGGCTTACCGCTAAAATTTTATCTCCTTCTTGTAATCGGCCATCAAGGTAAGCTGCCCCATCCTTTTTGATCCGGCTGACATAGATGCTGCTGTCATTGGAAATGTACTGCTGATCTGTCCCACCAACAATGTTGAAGCCCAGCCCTAAGGTAAGCCAAAGAGAAAGCAGATGAGAAAAAGCTCAAAGCTTCAGCCATTCTTGTCGTTGCCGGGGACTGCACCCTCCCACGTCACCCTGTCCTCTCCACCATACTAAACTCACAGCACACAAACCTGCATCATCCTTGCTACCCATCCTTTCTCATGAAACTCGTTTTGAAAGCAGAGAAGAGAGTCTGAACACCTGCGGACCCAGATGCTTCATTCCATAAAGCATTCATGAGTCATTTTCAGGTGGGTGTTGGGGAATACTGAGGGATATGCCATCGTTTCAGCCTGTCCTCTCCACCATACTAAACTCACAGCACACAAACCTGCATCATCCTTGCTACCCATCCTTTCTCATGAAACTCGTTTTGAAAGCAGAGAAGAGAGTCTGAACACCTGCGGACCCAGATGCTTCATTCCATAAAGCATTCATGAGTCATTTTCAGGTGGGTGTTGGGGAATACTGAGGGATATGCCATCGTTTCAGAGATGCTTCAGGAATACGCCTCTTCAGCACAGCATGAAAGGAACAGAAAGCATTCTGCATTTCACAGGAGGCTAGAGTAAATAATTACCTTTGAGCAACAAGAAATCATGCCTGACAAGCATTTCATGAGCTGGGAGACAGAGGTAGGAAAGGCAAGGAGCAGTAGACCCTGCCTACAGATGAGGGGACAAGCAAGTGAAGCGGTGCTACCAGCTGGAGGGCACCTAGAGCTCAGCAAGCCCCCCGGCCACATCTTAGGAGCTGGAACTGGCGTCCCTCACCTCCAAGAACAGGATTAGCTATTAGATGCAGCTACTTCAAATGGTCTGTAATCACTTTGTCCAGTTTCAGGAATTCAAAGCATGACAGGAAATAAAGACGAAATTCTTGGATTTAAAGCAAAGCAAAAAGGAATACACATACATTAAACAGAACTGAAGACCACTTGGTTTTTGTTAGGTTTCCTATTGTTTCTTAAAGAAAGCCTCAATTACAGATCTCTAGCTGGAACCAGCTGCTGGATTAAAGTGCAGTTTAAGACTTTTTCTTTCATCGAAATCCAGAAGAACAAACCAAATTCAAGATCTGGAAAACCACAGGTTTTTTCCACAGGTGAGAAACCACAAGAGCACATTCCCCACTGCACAGGCAGCTAAGTTTCTCTGTAAATAATAATACGTGACAAGGGATGAGAAAGATTCCCTAAGAAAAGGCTTGCTATGAAAACAGAAAAAAAGTCAAGTAAAAAGGAAAAAAACCCATCAAATATACAAGTAAATGGAGGGGGGGGGATGGGACCCACCAACATTTTTCATAACATAAACCAGTCATCCAAAACCAATTATCAAGAACAGCTGAAGGCAAATTCTCCCCACGTGCAGGCAGGCTGATTAACTTATTTTCTCTTGCTTTCTTACTTTCTCTCAAAGTCAGGACTACACACACTTTGAGAGGGAGAGTTGCAAATGAAAGTAAAGCCACCTCCTGACTGCTGGGAAGCAGCATTTTAAATCACTCATAGGAGATCAAAGGATGCACAAGATGACTCATGCTATTTTAAGTGTGCTTCTACAGCTGGGAAGTAAAGAAATATTAACAGCAATCTTGCAACGCCTTTTTTTTTTTTCCTCCCCTTCCTAGCAGCGTCAGACAAATGAGGAAGAAAATGGAAGCAGCAGCAGATTGAAGAAACACTGACGTTTCAGCGAGACTAATACTTCCAAAAAGGGACAGTTGTGCACAATAGCACACTCTTCAATGGGAGCAATAGATAAATAAATAAATAGAAAGCCACAAACCTAAAAATTACTTGCCATGAAGCCAATAACCTGGGAACAGGGGGAATCAATAAGACAGAAAGTGTAAGGTTTAATCAACATTTATTAAAAAGCCAGAAAGAAGGAATCAGAGTTTCAGAATACATTGATTCTCTCTCTCATATATAAAACAGCCAAATATATATGAAAAAAACACAGGTTTTGCAAGTTTTCACCCACAACTGGAAAAATAATCAAAAGTCACAGCTTTCATCAGCAGAGGTGACGTGAGATAGGAGCAGATCTTCATGACAAAAAGAGGCAGCAGTTCATGCTAGACGAAGTTAAGTATTCACAGGGCTTTTCCACTGTGTCTTTCCTTTCCAGCACTTCCACTCTGGCTAAAAATATCTTTCCTACCATTCCTTGAGCTTTCTGCTGTTCTCCCTCATCCAGCTCATGCAGCCACAGAACCACACAACTGGGAAGAAAGGAGCAAGGGGAAGAAGTAAGAATACGGCACTAAACCCCTTGTCTACGAGGGACTAGAAGTGGAATGGCAGAGCTTTAAAAGCAGGCTCTAGGCTAAACTTCTGACCCTCCCTGAGGCTGCAGACCTCCCTATGCCTCATTTAACACCCTGAAACTTAACAAGTCCTTCAAAAAGCCATTAAAAAAAAAAAAAAAACACAATTGGCAGGATTAGGAAAATGGAGATTGAATAGTATTTCAAATTTAACTGATGAAGTTGTTTAATTTTCCATAAAAACCGATTTTTCTGCCTAATTTCAGCCCAATACTTCAGAAGGAAATTCAAAGGGAGAAGAGACATGCACACATTTGCCACTGTAAATACATTCATCTCCTCAGCACACTTTTGCCAGAGATGTTTAGCATCAGACCCATTTTAAAAAGTTGCAGTCAAAACTCTGATTAGAGAGATTACGGGATTACACTGTGCTTTACAGACAACAGCATTTTGTTCCTTCCACAGAAATCAATAATAATTCACATGGTAAATGCATCAAGGTCTTAAGGGGCTGTAGGACCTTCAAATCAAGTGACATAGTTAGAAACCTAACTGGAAATACACAGCCCATCTCAAGGGCAGGACAAATGCTGCTGCTGCTAATCAGATTTAAATTGCCGCAGCCACACTCAAGACCTCTTCAACTCTGCCCTTCAACATCCCCTTCCACCTTCCTCAGAAGTTTGGGTTCCCAACTGTATGGAAAAAGCTTTCACATCAGAACCAGCTTCATTTGGCAAATGATTTCCACCGATAAGCATGGCTTTGTCAGCTTGAGCTCATGGCTGTGCAGGCAGGGCTATGCATCTTTCAGAGCGGCGGCCATCCCGGCGAGCATGAGAGGCAAAGGGTTGCCTGCTAGGCTCACCCTTTAGGTTGCAATCTCTGACACGGGGGCCAGGACTGACCCCAGCCTTGCACGGGAACTGCCTTCACCCTGGAGAAAGGAAAACGGCACATAGGCCAGCGATGCAGGTGCTGCGGGTCCCTGGGAGGGCCATGGAGCCAAGGCTGGCCAGCAGCCGCACCCAGCAGTTGTGTGGACAGAAAGGGTGCCTTCATGCTCATTTTAATTAAAGAGAAGGCCTTGCGCACCAAAGCTTTAGCACCAAAACCTCCCTGGAGCCTGTGGTTCTCTGGAGCCAG